CATGTTCTGCATGGAGCACTGGGTGTTATGCACAAACAATGAATCATGGAACACTACATCAAAAATTAATGATGTAATGTATGGTGATTAACATAACAATAAAAAGAAATACTGGATTATCTAATACTGGTTTATATTCTAAAATTCCTTAATGATTTTATATTCTATTCTTCTGATCTCTAGATTAACCTTTAAGATTCCTCCAAGTGCTAAAAGTTCATGGATTCCTTTCTCCTTGCTGCTGTCATCATGACAAATGTGAATTGCTTAGGTAAAGCTTGGATGCTCCCTAATTGGGGGGACCCAGATACTGGCTCAAGCTCTTCTTTTTTTTCCTTATATTTCAAGTGACTTTATTCCTGGGTGATGATCTTGAGCTGGTTATAAGAAACATGCATAAAGGCATTTGGAATTGGAAAAGCTAGAAGTCGTTCTAGAAATCTTTATACCTCTTTGGGGGGATCAGAGGTTATCCAGATTTGAGTGGGAAGAGAGGATCATGAATTGACTTTACATTCAAGATATTTTCCTCCCAGAGCTCTTTTTTTTACTTATCTTGACATGCTTAAAAATCTCAAAATTATTTTGAATTCCTTTCTAGTAATTTACCTATGTACTCAATTAATTGTTAAAGCCCCATTCATTACATGTTTATGATTCACTACAAGAAACTACAGTTTCTTTTCTGGTGTCTCGGATATTCTGTCCATTTTTCTCGGTCTTACCTCCATTGGCTTTCCAACTCTGGCTGTTTCTTGTCTGGAATTTAAAAATTTATTTCCATTCAGGATTGTTTATTTAGACCAATATTAAGTCAGTTAAGATTGTCACATTATGAAAAAAAAAGATTCTTATAAGTATTTTAAGTACTTATTTTTGTATCTAAGCTGAGAATTGGGTGTGTGTGCAGGTGTGTGTAGTTGTGTGATTGTGTAGGTGTTGTGGGTTATGGTGGTTTGGGGTGGAGAGGGTGATGTGTAAAGTAAAAGAAGACAGAACACATGCCTTAGAATTACTCTTTAAGTATGAAGTTAATTAAACTCTATTATGATAGTCTGGCTTCAGTCCCAACTACAAAATCTTCCAAAGGTTACATCAAAATCAAATGCCCAGTCAAGCAACTCAACACCTTTTTCAGTCCTAATTTGCCTTGCTCACCTGCCAACACTGATTTCCGCTTGTCCTCTCTTGTTCACTACCCCCCACAGTCACTGTCCGCCCACCCCCCGGATTCATTCACACAAGAATGATCACTGTGCCCAGGTGCCAAGGACGGACTTTACCTGAAAGTGTTCTTCAGCTCCCGGTTCAGAGGGCCCAGTAACTCCTGACCCCTGTCCTCACTACGACCGCTGCTACCACAACATTTTCTGTATCTCCTCAAGCCTTGTTAGAGTTCTCATTAAATGCTCACCGAAGCAATCTGAAATGAAAACTTTCTCAAGTAGGAAAATAAAGACTATTGGATTTAAAACCCAGAGCCAGCTCAAGCAGTTTGCATTTTTTCACAGGAGATGCACACAGGCAATCAGGTCTTTGATGTCAAGGACTCTGCCTTCTTCATTTGTGTGTCCCTTAGCACATTTACCAGCGTGCCCTACATGTGCAGTCTTAGATATTCATCAATGAATTCATCAATGAAAATTTGCTGAATTAATGAATGAATAGTTTGTATACAACTAGACCCTTTGAGGGTGAGGTGGCCAGTTATTTCTCTTGGCTTTGTTTTGTTAAAGTCTCTTCATTAATTCTTAGCCATTTTTGAAACCTAACTTTGACATTCAATACTAATATTTTATAATATTGATATAGTGTGATATTCTTTATAATAGTTTTTTCCATTCTTATTTTGTCCTAGAAATCATGTAAGCACTTGTGCTATAAACTATAAATGTTTGTGTCCCCCCAAATTTATCTGTTGAAGCCTAACCTTTAGTGTGATGATATTTCGAGGTGAAGCCTTTTTTTTTTTTAAAGATTTTATTTATTTATTTGACAGAGAGAGACACAGTGAGAGAGGGAACACAAGCAGGGGGAGTGGGAGAGGGAGAAGG